TGTGTGTGAGATAAATTATATTTTCGTCCAGGTTCTTCAATAGATGTTGTCATCTGCCTTGTTGAGAACGAAAAACAAGAACAAGCTGTTCTCTTCTCCTCTGTCTCACCTGTTGTCCTACAGCTCTCACTCATTGCAAATACAGTAGTAGCAGGTGCTGGATCAAGCTGTGTGTGTGTGTGTGTGTGTGTGTGTGTGTGTGTGTGTGTGTGTGTGTGTGTGTGTGTGTGTGTGTGTGTGTGTGTGTGTGTTGTGCGGTTAAAACCAGTCTATCTCTGCTGACAAGCAAACAGTTGTCCTTCAGTTGTGCTTAGATTCTAATGGTGCTACCTGTCACATTATTTTACCTTGCAGATATGTCCTCTGTGTGTGTGTGTGTGTGTGTGTGTGTGTGTGTGTGTGTGTGTGTGTGTGTGTGTGTGTGTGTGTGTGTGTGTGTGTGCACAGTATGTGTGTGAATACCTCACAGAAGATAGAAGTACCGGCTAATTAATTGTGGAAACGCAGTGAAGAATCATGAACACATTGTGCACATCACACACATGCTTACTCACTTGCTAAGTCTCTCTCTCTCTCTCTCTCTCTCTCTCTCTCTCTCTTTCTCTTTCTCTTTCTCTCTCTCTCTCTCTCTCTCTCTCACTCACTCACTCACTCACTCACTCACACACACACACACACACACACACACACACACTCATGCACAAAGAGAACAAAGGGAGTGGGTCACCTCAGGGAACATTGCGATGGCAGATGAGCAGGTCACTTTTTAGCCCTGTGTAACTCAACACCCCTCTCCTCTTCCTCATTTCCCCTCCTCTTCCTCCTCTCATTCCCTCAGGATGTCCGCTCATAGAGACCACATAAATTAGTGATCAAGCACGCTCACTTGTTACACACCAATCAGCCGTGGGTGTATCAGCGTCGGCGTGTGGGGTTAAAAACAAACAGTACATGCTATTATGGAACATGATCTTGGAGCTTTCCCACATCTCTCCTCATGCCAAAACATCAATTTAGGCTAAGGAGGTACCCACCGTGTGTGTGTGTGTGTGTGTGTGTGTGTGTGTGTGTGTGTGTGTGTGTGTGTGTGTGTGTGTGAGAAAGACTACCTTATCGGTTATCACACATGGAGTTTGATGACATGTGAGTCATAGTAGCTGGCTAAGGCTCATGGAAAATTCACGGTTTGAATAAGGGCTTAAGTGGGCTCTGCAGATAGGCCAAACAAGTGCTTTGTTGTCATTCTCAGGCTAATTACGATTAATCAGAAGAGTTTGCAAACAAGCAATAGCAGGTTATTGTGAAATTTAAGCAGGAGTGTGGTTGTAATGCTGTTATGAGCTTTTGTACTGATTATTTATCTAAACTCCTCCTGTACTAATTAATATTTCTATAATAACAGTGGGGGAAAAAAATACTCTATTGAGTTTTATAGTTTTTTTTAGCTAGACTGAATTACTTTGGTTTTACAGGCTGCAACTTTACTGTTTTAGTTTACTTTGATTGTTCTCATCTGCGTCCTTTCCAGATGTAAAAGGCAGCTGTTTTCAGTGAAAAAGTTTTGATAAATTGGCTACAAGATAACTTCCTAGCAGTAACGACAAAGTTAGCAACTAGCCGGTGAGCACAGTAGAGCATTGAGCAGCAAAAGAGGTAGATATGTTTGTCAGGACTTGGTAGAGACCAAAACAGAGCTAAGAAAGGAGTGAATATTAACTTGGATTCATCGGGGTACAACAATACTACATTAAATTACATGTTAGCCATGTACATTTAAGCTTATAATAATAAATGTTTGTGTTTAGAGCTTGTTATGCTGCCCCCAAGTGGCTACAAAAAATCTGCCAATGCAGATTTAAACAGCAACATTGTCGCAACTGTCCATTATAGAGAATATGAAAATGAAAACTGTTTTATTGAGGCAATTTGCTGATTTGAAACTGTTTTGGTACAGGGTGTCCTTGTTTCTCTAGCCTTGAAAGGGGCACAAAACACCAAGAAACCTGATACAAAGAGACACATAAGAAAAACAGTCATTAAAGGGGTGCTGCTGTATTTCACTTCCATAATGGTAGCTCACAAGAGACTGATTAAAATACAAATCTGGTTTGCAGAGGGTGACCCTTTAATGTCGTTAATACAACATTTTGACATGCTGCTTCTTCTGCTGTATATACACAATCAAAAGAAGGAAGCTATTTGGTTAACTACTGTTTTGCAGTTGACTTTGTTGTCCGTGGGGGTGAAAGAATCAATTTTAAATGAGCACACTTAACACTTGGCTGTCCCTGTATCACGGTGAATCACACTCTTCCCCCTCCTCTGGCTTTTTGGCATTGTAGCGTTTTTAATTGCTAAAGTTAGTCGGCGATTCTACTCAAAAATGCATAAAAGGAGGAAAGATATTCACACATTCCTGACTTGACCTCTTTTCCCCTGCTTCTTTAGAGTGCACCTTGTATGGTGAACTAGAAACCTGACTAAAAATGGTATCACGGAGCCTGGAGGTGAAGTCAGGTCTGAAGTTTAGCCAGCTACCGCGAGGCGTTTAGCAAGGGAAGACCAGATGCACTTACATGGGGGAGAAGAACTGGAAATAAAACAAGACGGGAGTTAGGGAGGATTATGAGTAAAAGCGTTAATCTGCTTATTCTTTTAAATGCAAATTGTTTTACCACAGTGTACACCACACTGCAGCATAACTGTGGTTCACAGCTTGCTCAATCATTAACAACTCTGCATGTGTCAGACAGGGGGGAGATGTGATATCTCTGCAGAGATTCAGAGTACACCCTGTATTTTACAGCATTTTCTCATACTAAGATGGCTAAAAGTTCTTCGCTATGGTAAAATAGACATTCACGAAGGACTGCAAAACAGTAATTAATCATTGCAAAATGATTTAAAGATAGTTCTATAGGCTTTAAGAATATATTTAACTGTTTATTGATGACTATGGACAAACAGTGTTACATCTGTTTGGATTTGATTTCCTTGACAGTAGGAAAAATGTTTTTCGATATATCTAACAATTGATTAAACAAGAAAAAGGGACCGATTTCTTAATCATGAGAAGAGTCACTGTTAGTTGCAGCCCTATGGCGATGCACAGCTTCCTTCCAGTGCTTTTGTGATGAATATGAAAAGTAAAGTCCACTCTTTGCTTACAACATGACTTTGCAACCTCTTGCTTGTAGTTTCATGACGAATCCTAATAAGTGTTAACGTTATAGATTTATAATATTAATATTTTTTAGAATAAAATGTTGAATGAGATAAGACTAGACATATGGTACCTGCAGGAGTGTTTTATGGATTCATCAATAGGACACGGGACTAACAGGTCACACAGACAGAGCCGAGCACTCATTTCAGTGTGCTGAGTTTACAGATACCTGGTGTCTGCCATCACTAAGCTGTCACTAATGTGCAGAGACAGATCTCACAGCCGACATGCTGCCTGTGTTCCTTCAGGTAACACGCACCCTTTCCATCCTGGTGAGAGGTGCTGTGTCAGCCGAACATGGGAAGTGTTGTGGGAGTATTTCGGTCTTATGTTTCCCACTGCCTAACAGACAAAAGAAAATGATTTCAAACAATAACACAATCTCAGACTGATTCGATCGGGGTGCTTACCAATTGATATTGATGCCAGTGATCGCACACATAAAAGGGAATAGGAAAAGGCAACAATATGATCATTAGCTTGGTATAACACTAAATGTCACAAACCTTTAGAGTTGTGTGATAAGTAAAGGTGTAATTGTGTCAAAACTTGAAGCAGTCTGAATCAGGCCCTTACTGTTAATGACAATAAACGTCCATCACCCGTCTTGATTCTTGGAAAGAAGGTGGGTTTCATCGTCACGTTTCCACGCGCGCTGGAAGGTGGTCGGCTAGGAGACACAGAACAGTGCTACCGATTACTCAGAAAGCAGCTCTCCCAGCGGCCTTCTTCCTTTTCGCTTCGCCCTCCTACTGAGCTGTTTGATTGAGTTCACAGCTGAGGAGGCCAATTTGGTGCCCATGGAGAGGAATAAGTGAAAAAACGTAGGAGATGTGGGAATATATCGCATGGGTATAGTTAAAGACAAAGGGTAGGGCATGAGAAGGAGGGGGGGCAGTGATCGAAGAAAGGAGAGAATTACGTGAAGAGGAAAAAGACAGTGAGAAAAGAGGACAGCATCCGAGAAGATTGCAGGAAAATGGCGGGAAGTTGGAAATGTAATTTCCCTATTAACTCAATGGCAAATGAAATGAGTGCAAAGTAGTTAAGAGTCACGTCTGATGCTCAGACAGGTGTCAGTTAATAACTTAAACCCCCAAATTTTAGCATACCCTGAAATGTCTCATCTTTCCACCAAAAGTCTTAAAATAATGCAGAGATCACATCGGTTTTTTTATGGAATTGGAAGGTTTATTTGCTAAATCAAGCATGTAAAATAGAACCTGAAATTGCCTGAGCTGCTCCAGAGGACATTTTTAGCTGAAAGCAGCCACTCCTCTGTGTTTCCAGCACTGAAACAATTAGTCAGTTAATCAATTAGGCAGAAATTCAAAAGTAATTGGTTGTTTATCAAGCAAAAAAAGCCAAATATTTGTTGATTCCAGCTTCTTGAATGTGGGAATTGTGTATCTTTAGGTTTTGGACTGTTTGTTTGACAAAACAATCAATCTGAAAATGTAACCTTGGGTCTGGGAAATTGTAACGGATATTTTTAATCGTTTTCGTCAGGGAATAAAGAATTAATCGCAAAATGAACACCCAGATTAGCCGATAATGAATATAATTGTTAGCCTATGAATAGTTGATTTTGATACCCTTTCACATTATTATTCACATGAAGTTTTACTCAGAACAGATAATGAGAATTTTCTCCTACAGTATCAGTATCAGAATATCAGCATGCATGGCAACACACTGAACGATAACCCTGCTCAATCATTAAACTTAAATATCTTCAAATCCATCTCTTTTTTTCTTACTGTCTCCTCCACAGGAGAGGTTTGAGGCGTTGTTTAGGATCTACGATGAACAGACGACTTTCCAGATGTTCAAAAGCTTCCGGAGAGTCCGGATCAACTTCAGCACCCCAGAGGCCGCCGCCCGAGCCCGCATTGAGCTGCACGAGTCTGAGTTCAACGGCCAGAAGCTCAAACTCTACTTTGCCCAAGTGAGTGTCAGTCAAAGAGTCTGGGAAAGGGCAGGCAGGGAGCCTGGGACATGGACTGTCTAAGGAAGTGATGTGCTTATTTACATGGGGAGTTATGCTATAGTGCATCATTCACTGAAACATGCACACACAGACACATATCCACACACACACACATTGGGGACAAAAAAACCTTACAATTCAGCTTTGGCTCTCTTCTTTGAGCCTGACTGCTTCCTCAACCTGGCACCCCTCCTGTCAAACTTCATCTGTCACATGATTGGACACATGAACACGTAACATTCTTGAGTCTCTTACCGGTGTGTTTTTGTCAGATTTGTCTGTTTCCTTTGGGGGGGAAAGAGTGTGTCTAGTCAAAACAAAAAATAAGAGGAGCGTATATATTCCGTACTGTGATGAAATTGTTATACATACATTCACTCATATCTAAAAAAAAAATAAGATTAGAGTATGCGTGGATTAAAGATGGTTAAAAGCAAGGTTTATACATCTAACTGGTTACATATAGCCATTGTTTCAACAGCATTTAAATTACTATATTTCAGTGTGAAGCAAGTCCAGACAACCCATTGAGATATAGTCACCGAAGGCATGTTGAAACAACTGTTATATGTCAGCTAGATGTCTTAAAAATAACTAATTCTAAAACACAAGTCAACCCTGAGGCCTAGACGTCATTAGGCCTGAAAATCATCACATTCCCGCTTCCTGGGAAACCATGAGTCAACTTATAATTGATGCCCGTTTTATCACAAATACATCACCAGCCATGACCCCTGCTGCACCTCTCAATACTTTGATGTAAGAGGATTAAGGATTTTACTGCTCAGACAGATGCCACATGTAGGTAGTGTAATTATGGCAATTGGCAGCTATCAAAACGCCAAAATCCCTTCATGGGAAGGAGCCTGCAATTTGAGACTAAAAGACTGAAGCTGTGCCTGCAAAACTAATGTGCTTTTGTGGCTCTTAAGTATCAGGATTAGATTTGTATAAAAAAGTACAGGAACTTTGACAATTATCCTAATTTGCTTTGTAGAGCTTTGCATTATTTTTTCCATTTGTCTTCTTCCTGTATAGAAATTCAGGCTTTTGTCACGAAGTTAGGTTGCAGCTACGTCTACAGTCCAGTGTATTGAACCAGTGTATATATTAGAATTAAATACATGTTCTTTAACAGCTTCACTCACTCACTTTAATCTCCTCTTTACTGCGCCTTTATCAATTCTCATCTCCCCTTCAATAGATCCAGAATGGCGACGAGGACATTGACAAGTCGTACCTGGCCCCTCCCCAGCCCGTCAAACAGTTTCTGATCTCGCCGCCTGCCTCGCCACCCGTGGGCTGGAGCCAGAGCGAAGACGCCACGCCTGTCATCAACTACGACCTGCTGTGTGCAGTAGCCAAGCTAGGACCTGGTGAGTACTCAACAAGCTTGTGCTGTATACTTTCAAAGATATGAACACACACGCTGACAGATGCAACACAGGGAAAACAGTGTATAATAAAGGTATTAAAAAAATCTAATCTGAGTCAGTCATCTCTGAACAGTCACCCTGATACAAACAGGAAATCATTTCATGCTTCTCAGCAGGGTGTTATAGAAAGGATATGAGTCTAGGAAGCAATTTGACAAAGGAATTGAAGTGGACATTGTCGAATCATCACAGTTTTATTCTTGACTTCCTGCGGGCTTTTCATTACTGTCTGGGAATCGGTATTAGGTCTAATTTACCTGAACACAAATGCATTTTTATGTATATTCCATTACATGCCTATATAACGTCATTATGAATTGATTGGCATTTTAAAATGACTGTCAACATAGAATTTAGAATTTCCTGCTCCAGTATTACTGTGGACGTGCTCCTCAAAAAAAAAAAGCTCATGAATGATATCTACTGATATCTGCAGTGCTGGTCACCATCCGTCAGTGTGAAGGGTGTCTAACCCCCCGTCAATGCCAGTATTTGTGTTTGAAAATGTAAACTGACTGAATAGCGACGGTTCAATCATATCTTAGGAACTGTAATCCCTGCATCCCTGTTGAGCTTTGGATTTCTCCGCACGTTGAAGTGGTGTGTGTGAGGCTGTGGTAAAAATTTAAAGCGTGTCCTCTTTTTAGCCTTTTCAAAACCAAAAACACAAGTGTAAAGCAAGAACAGTGTTCATGTGCTCTAATGCCAGCTACAGTTGTTAGCATGGTTAACTAACTGCCTTACTACGTGCAATATAGCAAACGAACATTACTTACAGCACATCATCTTTAACTCACTAACTAGCTACATTAGTTTGTGGGGTTAAAGGTTAGCCAGTCCTCCTCTTTATTCAGTTTGGGGACGTTTCCACTAAAGCAAATAAGCCAAACATTTAGAACGAATTAACAGTTGAATCTTATATTTTTCCTTTTTATATAACACTAACTAGCTCTACTCTTCAATGCATTAGCTGATGAGGAGGCAAACCTTTTGAATATGACCCGTTAGCTTTCTAGTTCTATCTTAAAACACTCAACTACCCATGAAGCTAACATTACTAGCTAACCACAGTTGATAAACTCTACCAGCGACGGTTAAAACCGACGCTTGAAGGCTAGCACTGTTTCTGTCTGAAATGAAGGACCCATTGTTTCAGAGATTACTAATATTTCCGTGAGCTAAATATGCCATCATGTTCATTGGGGGCAAACAGTCATTACGATAATCTTAAATTGATAGGATATAGATCAGTTTCACTATGCCGTAAAAAGATCCTCATACAATTTTAACAAATGTGTTCATGTATAAGCAGTTCGGCTCAGCCCGGTTACATTTGGAAGGTTTTAAGATCTTTCCCAGGAACCTTGCTCCCTGGCAGCCTATCTGCTAAGAGATAATGTCGTCTCTGTCTGCCTTGTCGACAAGATTTCTGATTGCAGCAACCTTTTATAAAATGTCACCTAACACATGGAAAGGTGTGTCATATTCCACAATGCCTTTCCATGTTTGTGTATGTGGGTATGCTCATGCTGATGAAGTGGAAAACATGAAGTCACTTGAGCGCTTTTATCTTTTTTGATTATCAACAAAAACATGATTAAAGTTTCCACATAATCACACACACACACACACACACACACACACACACACAAAGTCCAGCTCAGAGGATCACGTTTGACACGTTCTGCTGTTACCATAGCAACATGAGGCATCAGGAAATGGCTTTGTTGTTCACCACACATCCTGGCATCTAAAATCAGATTAGCGCAGGGCTGCAGCACAGCACGCTGACTCCCTCTGTCAACTCTCTGCGGTAACAGCAGGACTCTTATTCACTGTCCATCTTTCTGTTTGGCACCACAGCGAAAAGCTACTAGACCAATTTCCTCCTGTCTGCCAGCTGTGTGATCTCATCTCCATGGCAACCGTGATACAATCTAGCAAGTGTATGTTTTCAATCGGAGTCCGCCGAGTTTGGCATCTGGACAAATGGCAGCACTATTGCAAAGAAAGTCCTTTTGTTTTCTCTTGACGTCACCTCCTTCTATCTGAGTGCTGACCTGATTAACAATGCAATGGACAGACAGACGGTAGATTATTTTGTGCTGTAAAAAATATCTCCAGTGTTTGATAAATGGTAACAATAAATAATATAATAATAATAATAATAATAAAAATAAATAAACTACATATGCATGTTTCTTAAACCAGAGCTGTTTAAGCCTGTCTCACTTTACTTTAAGTCTTTAAAGTTAAACTAACCAAAATGTACTTCCCAGATGATTATATATATTATATTAAACAATTATTGTTATAGATATTATAATTATTGTTTATTTATTCTCCTGTACAGCACTTTGGTCAACTTTGGTTGTTTTTAAAGTGCTTAACAAATAAAGTTGGATTGGATTGGATAGATGACTTGAATTTAAATGTTCTAACTTTATATAGTGTTGGATAGTTCAATATATAATATATTTTATAAACTGATCAAAGTTTTAATCTGCAAAGTAACCATTGACTAAAGCTGCCAGATAAATGTAGTGGAGCAAAAAGTACAATAATTCCTTCTGAAATGTAGTGAATTAAAAAGTTAGCATTAGCATTAAATGGAAATACAGTAAAGCACCTCGAAATTGCACTTAAAGAGCAAAACAATGTGGTAATCCAGTTCTCGCTGATGGCATAAATCTTTAAAAAGGGTTCAAATGTATGTTCAGTGTAGTTTATTTAAAAGGCTGAGCAGCTGGGCACTGTAGTTATTCGCAAATAATATTCAAACAGGAAGGAATACTATATACTTACTCTTATAAATGTTACTCTGCACCACTACGTCTTAACTCTCATCTCAGATAACAGTATTTAATATGATTCTGCTCTCTCCCCCACTCTCCCTCTCTTCCAGGTGAAAAGTACGAGCTCCACGCGGGGACAGAGTCCACCCCCAGCGTGGTCGTCCACGTGTGCGAGAGCGAGACTGAGGAGGACGAGGCGGCGCGGCCAAAGCAACAGATCGTCCAGACCAGACGTCCCGAGGGACCCCCCAAAGTCTTCAACTAGAGAGGCCTCCCCCTGACACCGGCGCGGACCCCGACCGCCCCTTAAAACCCGCAACACACCTGCCCTCTCTCTCTCGTCTCTGCACTCACAGAGAGCGTCGATGCCCCTCATTTCAGTTCAACTACAAGCAAAAACAAACCAACAAACATTGCTCAAAGACGGTGTTTGTGGGGAGCGTGGCGATGGAATGAGGCGGCTTGAAGGGGATGGATGAGAATCACACACACACTCATCACATTCTGCGGACAGCCTGGGGAGCGGCGGGCATGCTTTGCCTCCAACCCCACCCCCCCCCCCCCCACCCCCTCGTTTTCAGCAAGAGGGGTCGAAAATACCTGTCCCAAACGCAGGCACCTGTCACTTATCACACACACACACACACACACACACACACATCAGCTCTCATTGCTAGTCCTGCTCAGTAGCTTGCTAGTTAGCTTATTAGCTTGTACCTCTCCCTTCGTCTCGCAGTCGTGTGTACAATAATCTTCAGTTGAGGTATATGCGATACCTCTAAACAAAGACATTTTTTCTTCTTTTTTCTTTTTTTTTTTTTTACAATAAATTGTGTTTTCAGATTATAGATATATATATATGTCTATTTTTTCTTTTTCATCCATTTTCATATCTGCTGGTTTGTTGCTTCAGCTTGCATCAAGATTGAGTGTGTGATGTTCCCGCTCTTGTCTGCATGTATATACTGTATTACAAAAAATACGTACAGAAACACAAGTACTAACAAGATATATCAAGAAAAAGGAACCTATTTAACATCACACACAGCACGAAGCGCCATATGTGACTAACAACGTTGTGGTGGTTGTTTGACTCTTCTTTCTGTCTTTTATTTTTTGCTTGTTTTTTGCTTTTCGTCTTTTTTATTTGGAGAGGTGTTGTTTTTTGCTAAACTACTAGATGTGTATTCTTACTATGTATTTGATACCCCGACACTTTTTGCATGCTTAGTTACTTCTGTAGATGAGGAGCTGAGGTGTTTTTTATTGTCGTTCGTGATGACAGGGAAATAGTGTGACGCTTTTGACGCAAGTGCATATCCCCGTGCAGAGTTTAAAGTGACGTCTTCGGGGGGGAAAAAAAAAACTGAATGGGTTTTTTTTTTTGTGAGATTGACAGTTCAGTCTTCAACTGGATGACAAATTTGCATTTGTCGCTTTTGTTGGGATTTGATGGATCAGAGACAGTTCATCCCCCTCATTTTCTTCAAGGGGTTTGGGATGTTGATTTTATTTTTCAGATTCTGTTTGTTGTATTTCACATCTTTAATGTCTTGGTTACGTTGTTCGATCAAACCCACTTTCTATGTGTCAGGTTTTCTTCTGAAACCTACTACTGCTTGTTTTGCACTGAGTATCTCTTGATATCTCCAAGCAATTGTGGGGCTCTCGACCGTCTCCTGCTGCGCACCAGAATACTGCGCTGCTTCTCGCTGTAAATAGCCGAGCGGTAGATTTGTGGAAATAGTCCTTTTAGATTTTGTAGTTTAACCTGAAAGCATTTTGCTGAGAAAAGGGAAAATTAGGTAGCCTCATGAGATATCAACCAAAGCATTCACTCACCTCATATTGTCACAACAACGTAAAACGATTTTTCTTACTCAGAGACACTGATGTATATTGTTAAAGCGAGCAGAAAGAAATCATATTTTCCCAACATAACTGCAGTACTTTTTATTGCATTATTTTTTATTCTACATTAACACACGTACATTTTTGCATTACATATTTTAGTGGAAGCTAATCTCCACTAAAAATCATAAACTCATTGACTTTAAGTATTTTTTTCCTTTTTGTGTGGTAAATTCTCCCCACGGTCCCATTCATATCAGTTATTGAATGAAACATGAACAAATGTTCCTAACAGGGCTTTTGGGTGTCAGCGGTGAGTCTAAACCTTATTTGTCATTAGGCAGCATGAAATCTAAAAAGACTTTTTTTGCTATATAACAATATAAGTGAGCAAAAGAGAAGTCTGTCTGCATGTGAGCACTTTATTGTCAGTGTTTTGTTTGTTTCCTTCACATAAAATAGTCTTTCTTGAGACAAAGTAGGAAGCACATTGCATTCTTATCTGTTTTTTTTTCTTGTGTTTTTTTTCTTTTCTTTTTTTATCTCAAGCTGAACACCTGGTTAGCCTTTTCACCAGCATATTGCAGTGAGTGAAACACTCCACTTCCTTTTTGCTAGTGTGAACCTTGGATGAATTTCAGGCCTTTTGGATCTATGGAAGTGTACTACTGTAAAGATGTAGACAGTGCAGTACAGTTATAGGTTTTAAATGAGGCAGGATGACACTGCAAAACAAAATCAGTGTCTTTTGTTGTCGTGTTTGTCCACAAGAAACATTCATCTTATCTTCAGAGAAAGTTAAACAGTTCTTTGAAATGCACCGTGTTGGCAGAGTGCAGTTTTATTGGCACTACAGTAAAGCTGTCACAGTTATCTAAGCAGACTGCAGATTGGTGGAACTACTGAGGTGGATTATGAGAAAGAGGAAGCAGCCAGCAGCAGGAGGAAGACACTCGTGAAGATTTTTTTACTCTCTGTGGTCATGGTGTTTAAAACCGGGTGCATTTTGGTCACAGTTGAAATGAAAATGTATATTAATGTACATATGCCAAGTGTTTTTGTCTTTTTTTTGTTGCTGAGGCCAGTCCCAGTGTGCAGTTTGTTACGGCTTATCTTGGCAATGTTGTAATGGAAAAAAAAAAAATACAAAAATGTGTAACAATAAGTCCTGAAGATGCTCGATCAAAAACCAACTTGTCATTGTGTTGTGTTCAACATGGACTCTGTTTGAATGTTTCTTTTATTTCTGGGGAACGTCTACTAAAAAGGTCAATAATACCGTTTGTCACTGTTGTACTGTTTCTGTTGAAATATGAATATTGTGTCTTGTATTGTAGGAATCCAGAAAACAAAGTAGCAAAACAAGCAATAATTTACAGTTCTATAATACCGGTATGTGTATTTTCATGTTCTGTACTTATTTCTCAGAGATGGTCTCTGTCTCTTACAGTATCCGCTTCTATTTGTGTAGTATACTAGCCATTTGTTTCACATAGAGAAATACATAAAGACTTATTCTTAAAAGCCATGTTTAGTGTTGTTTATTTTAGGGATTACTTTACTTGAGCATCTACACAGCTGGGATGCAAATACAGGTACAGAAAAGGTGTCTGAAGCTAGCATTTAGCTCAAAGCACCCCCTACTGTAAGTACAGCCTTACAGAGCTGCTAGCATGGCTATAGATTCTTAGCATTATTGAAAGATTACCATTCTTTCAAAAAAGCTTAGCCGTCAATCAAATGTAATGATAATACTTGAGACATAAAGTTAAAGGTCCAGTGTGTAACATTTAGGAGGGTCTATTGGCACAAATGTAATATAATATGAATAACTATGTTTCTCCTTTGTTCTTGTAAAGGGAGGGTGAAGCGAGGGAGTTGCAATCTGCAACTACACTGCTAGATGCCACTAAATGTTCCACACTGGTCCTTTTAAGCTTTACATCAGCCCAATCATGCAGATTTAAATATTAAATGATATACTAGACACAGGCACATGCAATATTGTTCCATTATCTTTATCGTCCACTTTCTCCACTTCTTTGCTGTTTTCTTCAAAAAGTTTAATAATTCACGACACTGACATCAAAAAGTCTGAATTCCCACTGGATTTGGTGTTGACTTTAGTTCTTCATATGGCTATAAAATACACAGAAAAGCCTATATCACTGCAGGGACATGTATGTTCCTGCTTTATGATGCTGGAATAGGGCAGTGGTACTTCCACTTGCACTTTGCACCTCATATTTCCCCCCAAGGAGCTAACAACAGACCGTCTGGTCAGAGCCTAACAGCAAGGTTGAGTTAATGATTCTTTCAGTAAGCAACAACTGACATGAAATTCAAAACAGGCAAGGTGAAGCGACGCGTGTGGCAATACAGCCATGACCTGCAGTTCAGTAGCCCGTTAAATTTCATGGCTGCAGTTTCCTTGTATCAGCCGCGTAGAAACAGACAGATGACTGATCGCGATCCAGTAACAATAGATTTCTGTCATCTGTTTCCTTCTGACAAACTGCACTTCAGTGTTATGTAAGGAGAGACAACAAAGCCAAGACAATGGCACACTGTCAACCCTGACTTGGCAAAAAAAATATGTTTCCCAAAGTGAATAAAAAAAATACATATATTTTAGTGAGAACCATATATTTAACAGATCCAGAATATAAGGATCCAAGGTCGTAAAAGTTACCTGTGTCACGGCTGACATACTAAATGGTCTAAAGGTAAGAACAGTGGACAGCTGTCAGTGTTTTACATTAAGAGCGGACAGCTGTGAGATGAGGCATACTGTGCTGCCCCTGTGTCTTCCTCTCCATGACACAAAAAGCCCTCTCTTCACGGTGCCGGGAGTGAGGAATCCCTCTTCACAATGACCCTTACTGTTGAATGTGAAGATGCGTGTGCACCTAAGAGGAACAGATCAAGTTAACATGAACCTGGTGGGTGTTAATGGGGCCAGAACCTCCATTTTCTTTAAAGGTACTTTCCAGAATTACACAGCACAAATGCCTCAGTTGCTCTTATGGCAAAGGCTCATCAGAATAATGCATTAGTCATGAACAGTATATACAATGAGTTAAAGAAGGTCCTTAAAAGTACATGTGGTAGAATCAACATATACTGTGTAAGGGGTTTGTTATGAGTGACTTTAAACATTTACTTCAGCTTTTACATCAAAGTCCTCTTATGTAATAAAGTGATAAGTACAGTGAGTGTAAACTCTTTTATCTCCCTCAGGAAGAGTGAGTGGCTAAAGGTTGTCTCCCCATGTGTTCACATCAGGAAAGTACAGATATAGTAACTTTACTTGTGTGTGTTGATAAGAAAATTGGTTTGTAATTAAGATAGATGATGAAAGGGTTATAATGGCATATTTCATGTTTGCAGTTTCTGATAAATTAAGACATTTTTAAATAAGCTCAGGTTCTAAATCTAGTGGTTTTTTTAGTGTGCTGGAGGGATGGCATGGCCGGTCCACGACTTTGGTCCAGACGGAAATATCTCAACAACACGTAAATGGATTGGAGGACATTCTGTGGTCCCCAGAGGATGAATGGTTCACAACTTAAAAAACAAATGAGATTCCCCTCTACCTCAGCTGTATATTGTGTTTAGTGCTATTAGCACATGTTGGCATGATAATATGCTAAACTGTGGTGATCATGGTAAAGATTACACCTGCTCAGCATCCGGGTATTGGCATTTTCAGTGTGGGCATGTTAGCCGCTGTGCCAGAGAAGTTAGCTTGTCTTGTTGAAAACAATCTGTAGACATCTAGATAGCAGTGGGGGCATCATTTTATTCATCATCCACAGACTTTTTCTGCTAGACACACACCTCATGCCTTATATTGTAGATTCAAAATACCATAGTAGTATTATTTTAGATCTTTGTCCCATTACTTTTATATTAAAATTTGACATAATGGGTAAAATGTGTAGACTAGACTCTGTCTTTACCTTAAAAACTTAAAAGGAGATCAAAGTCTTAATTTATTTTAATACTAAATCTATCCTTATTATACAAGATAGCATTATATTCTGTACCAAGCATCCCAAACAAAAGATGATTGAATTGATGGGACAGACAGAATTAGAAAAAGACAGCTCAGAAGAAAGACAACAGCATTAAACAATGAAATACAAACTAAATATGTAATTAACAAATGATGATCCACCTGTCTTTTCACTTTCAGCAAATTAAAACACATTTTGCATGCAGGGTGTTTACACCTTTTGTACTGGGCTGAAACCAACACAATGCCGGGACGCCATTTTGAAAGATGTATTCTTCTCTATGAAATTTGACCTGTCGCTCTGAGACTTATGTAATGGTCTTCCACCACAGTTAGTAAGGGACATGGGGACACCAGCACTGCGCACGTATGCAGGCCATTGGGTGAAGCAGAACAATGCCTGTCTGCCCAAATGAAGTTAAGTTACACTTTCTCACAAAGGAACAACACTGACTTGCTTTATAGTCGCGGGCACCACCTATCCCCCGGAGGTAACGTGAGGCGAGATCCTGACGACTTGTTGGCACTATTTGGAGAAATACTGCCACGACGGGTGTGTTACAGAGGCTACAAAAAGATAGTAGGACAGTTAGGAAGATGGGCAAAATATATGCCAGTAAAAGCATTTTTCCTGTTCCTCAGTGGACAGCTTTCACACAAATGTTGCCAAGCTTTTGAATCGAGCTCATTGTCCTCTAATAAAAGCTTTTGCCTACTGTATCTTTCCCACAAACACACCCAGTACCCTTTGGACAAGTACTGTAATTCACAAAGTTAATTTTCAACTACATACATAGAACGTGTGCGTGCAAAGATGAATGGGTTTGTGATAACTTTGAAACCTCATACATTGTCTACACACTCACACAAAACACACAAACACACGCTGTCTCACTATCAGAGGTAATGATTAGATTTTTTTTTTGTTTTGTTTGTTGACCGTGGCATGGAGAGACACTCATGCCTGCATGTGTTCCGTATAAGCATGCCCAGGTGCACACACCCCAAAAAGTGTAACACATACCCTGGATTTGAATATATGAGATGCTATTTTTTCAGACATTTTAATCCTCTTTTGACCAAAATGCACCAAGCCCCACCCTATAGCAGTTCATGTTCCGTGAGATGCAGCTGGTCTGATTTTGAGAGGCAGTAGTCATGGTGAGAGCCGAGCCGAGCAGACAACTCTGGAGAGGAGCCTCGCTTTTTGATCATCAGTCACGGCACGCCTAGGGGCCAGGCGGTAGGACCTGAAAAACCAGCTGCCTGAGATTATTACTTTCAGCGAGGAGCAACAAGTGAGCAAGCGTGGAGCCTCCTCCTCCTCCTCACTCTCCTCCTCTTCATATGAACACTGATTCCCACAGACACACAGACACACACACACACACACACACACACACACACACACACACACACACACACAGGCATCTCTGCTTGTTTTTAAACTCTTGTCCTTCCTTTGTGTCTGTCTCGCCTGTTTGTACCTGTGGGACTGTCACTTTAGCAGCACCTGGGAATTGTATTCCTCTCTTGGAGCAGCTCACACTCCCCGACCCGCTGTGACTGTTAGTCCACCCGTGGACTATGCCCCCCTCAGTCAGCTGAGGGAGGGGGCTCTGTTCTGCTCAGGCTCCCATCAAGAGAAGGCTTGGGCTGAAATTAAAGAGGAGACGGTTAGGTACGTTCACAAGACTAATCACTGCTTTTAACTCCTTCTTCTGCTTGGCGGTTTTTGTTTTTACCTAAACTTTGTCTCTTGTGGTTTGAGGACGTGTGTGTGTGTGTGTGTGTGTGTGTGTGTGTGTGTGTGTGTGTGTGTGTGTGTGTGAGGACCGGGGTTCTCCCAGACAATATGGCGGGACAGCAGGTGAGTCTCAGGTGAAAGGGAATAGCTCACATTCCAAAGAGCTCTCAGATTTAGAAATCTACTGTTACTGTTGAACCAGTGGAACAACACAGAATTATGTCTGAGTTAGGAAGATTGAATTTCAGTTCCCAGCACTATCTGCCTGTGTGTATCTGTGTATCTCTTATTGATAAGTGAGTGGTGGAACAGCTCTACTATCATCTCATCAGTTGCCACTACGTTGTAGGAAAATATGACTGCTGTTTGTATGGAAGCGCTGCATCAGAGCTCACGAGTGTCAGTTTTCATGTAATATAAGGGGCATTGTGATGATGTATTAAGCATTTTGGGTTAGATTTGTTTTTATTTTAAACAATAATGTGTAGTTATACGATGAGGGGAGTTGGCGTTGTTCTAAGAATAGAAAAGTTACCTGTTCTCTTCTAAATTAAGCTACAGTCGCTCCCGTAAAGGTTAATTACTATGTCTGCATTCCAGCTACACCTAACCAGCTTCATTTACATTTAGGCTGGGATAGTGGCCAGTCTATACAGTATGTATACATTTAGGGTTGTTGAATTAAATAATTAAAGAATTAAATAGTTTTTTTTATCATTTATTTATTGGCCTATAGGCGTTTTTGCTGAATTTCACATGGAGA